ATTCTAATGAATGTAGTTATGAAATGAATGTGGTTAATGTAGATCGAAATGTGGTCTATACCCCATTCTAATGTTTTCATGAAGTTATACTTTATAAATGTAATACACACTTAAGGTTGAGAAATATATGATTAAAATATATATGCTGTAAACCAGATAAACACATGATTTTAGTATTTAAAAAAATATTTTTCTTTAAATGGGAATAAGATATGAGCCCGATTATTTGACAATATTCTGAAGTAGCACTATGAAGGGAGGAAAATGAAACTAAGTAACTAGCTTGTATTATAATTCTTAGTTTATGTACTTTAAATTGCAAAAGAAATTGAAAATTTAATATAGTTTTTTTTCTGCTATCTATTATATTTTTATTAATACTTTAGCGATATTATTTTCTCTTGTAATACAGTCAAACTCATCCATATAGCATTCGTGTACAGTCAATTATTGCATGCAGTGACCTTACTAATTTCAGTTCAAATCGTATTAGAAAAATATCTTTATCTTCAGCAATAAATTTTAGCTGGTTATAACACGTTCCGTAACACCACAAAGGCTTTTAAAAGCTATAACAGGAGGATAAAAAGAATTAGTAAATATAAAATAAATAAATTTTAGAAAGGGGAAAAGAAATCTCTTTGCGCTCGCAGTTTAGCAATCTGCTCTTGGATTCACATATATCTACACAACTTTTCTTGTCTTTTCAAGTTTATTAAACATCATCTTTTTCGCAATTCAACAGCAAAATTATAAAATAATTAAAACTAGCATAGCTTTAGGAATTCTAGATAGAGTATTAAGTGTTGCTATACACTTTCCTGCCACTTTTCAATTCACCACATTAGTGTTCAAATTTAGATGATATAATTACACTTTGTGAAACGTTAACTCTTTCTGTCTATATATAATATAAATTATTTAGATATCTTGAGATTAGAAAAGCATTTTCAGCTACGTGGTGGATATATGAAATGGCAAACCGAAGAAGGAATGCTTTCAGACGTGGGCGTTGATTCAATATAGGTTTATTTTGATAATAGAGCATACCCTCATACGCAAAAATAGATTCACGCATAATTATTTATAGGTGCTATGTGCACCCCACAATTCACACAGCTTTGATCAATTTAGATAAGGAATGAAGCAGAATAGCAAACTGAATAGCAGCAAGCGAAGCAGATTAAAACAGATGCGCAGTTATTAGCAACACTATTTTTTGAAAACTTGGTTGCTTTGTTTAAATTTTCAGTGGTGGTTCGAAAAGAACTCTGACCACTCTGTAGGATAACTAAAAAGACATAATGCAGATTAGTTTTTAGATGATGCACTTTAAATTATAAGCTAATAATTCTTAAGATAGAAAAGGGAAGGGCCAAGTTATTGTTTCGATTTATAAAGGAAAATTTTGCTTTTTAACCACAGAATTCTCACTAGGGAACGTTGGGTAGCTCTCCTTTAACGGCAATGTCTGAATCACCTGATTTCGGCTTGTAACCACGGGAACTAGCTGACCACGGAATATAAAGATAAGCTTTCAGTAGCATATTTAAAAGTGAACCGTGAACCCCTAAATACCTTGATACTCACTTTATTTGTATTTATGTTCAGTTTATAAGTTGGTTATTTCATGCGGTAAAACATAAGTTAACAGTTCTAGGGAAGTGACTTTCAGAATATTAACTCAAGTAAGTTTCTCATAGCATTCACTCCTCCCACCCCTTCATGAAGCGCACAGATCGCTGATATCGCTCGTACATTAACAAGTTCTGTTACAAAACACGAATTAAAGTTTATATGGCATAAGGCAAAAGACAAAAAATTGCAAGGTTAATGTCTTTTGTACCATGTAAAATAAGATTTTTTGCATTAAATAACCTTCAGAATAAGTTCGTTTGACCGCCAGTTTTCGAAAAGTATTTATTTAGGTTCCCTCATTTACTTTTTCGAACAAGAGCATTTGAGGAATATGAATAATTATTGTCTTATATTACATAGAAAAGGCGAAGAAGAAAAAATATGTGTGGCGTGCACGCACTCTGCTGAACAATGGTTTCGTTTACAGAAAGTACTAAGAATTGCAATATTTTTTGTTATTTTGCGATACTGTTTATATTTAGAATGTATATTGATCAAGATATCCAGATTTGCTTCGGATACCTTCACCTACATATCTGTTCTTGCTTGGAGTAGTAAAAGAGAGTTTAAAATGTTTGGTTAATATTTTAATATTTTTTTTCTTTTAATCACAAAGTTTACATGAACTGCTAACACGCACAAAACAAATATAGTATTTAAAAAAAATGGATAATAACAAAATGTTTATTTAATTATCTTTTCGTTTTGAAGCTGAGGATTGCAACGATTTTTAAAGCAATTTAAAATGGAATTCTAAGTTGTAAACCTTTTATTTCGGAAAACAGGCAAGGTGCTACTTTCATATAATTAAAACCGTGTATTTTAAGGTCCCGATAATACAGTCAATAGGATATTATAAGTCTTATTATTATGATTTAAATTTATTATTTGCAATTTGCGAACTGTTTTGATTTTATTTTTAAGATATTACGAGATGAATTAGCTTTAAGGCATGAGTTGCCCATTTTAGTTAGCATTATTTATTACTACAGAAAATACCTGATGACAGTAAAATTAGATTGAGAATAATGTATCTAACAACAGAGAGAACGATACCGCTGTAATCGTTCTCTAATAACGATGAAAAAAAAAGGTTCATAGTGGTACATTTTTCAATCTGATGCGATATGGTACCTACATAAAAATTTTCGATAGAAAAATAAACTAATTCTCTCTCATTATATCAGCAACAACTACATGCAATTTTTAATGATTTTCGTTCTTCTAATCAAATGGTCGTAAAAGGTCAAGTTTCACCGAATGTTTTACGCATATTAAATTTTAGTCGATTAAATGTGGCAAGAAATTCATCAGAAATGAATAACGTGAACAAATAAACGCATAAAAACACAGAAAATCTTCTTTATATATATATATAGATGGATTTTGTAAAAATTACAAATTTTTTATTAACATAATCTACTACTTAGTAGCAACACTTTTCGAAATAAAGCATTTTTATCTCTAATGCACCAGACAGTTGCCACACGGAAAATGAGTGCGAAAATTAGCGCTTTCTGAGTTTTTAGTTAATATTTCGGCTTATTAATGGTTTATAAATCAAAACATCTTTACCTGTGTTTGCCTACATCATTAAAAAAAATCTAATTTAGTTTTAAAAATCAACTGTATCGTTATTAAATGAAAGTAATAGCACATTGACTTGCATTGAAAGCTATAAGCTATTTTATGTTGATTAAACAATTATAATTTAAATCTTTATTATAAATTCTTCTTTCCGTAGCCTTCACCAGAATGCTAATTAGTTACTAAGTATTTAAGTTGAGGGTTTTGAATGTTTTAGAGCCCTTTATTACTAAACGAATAGTTAATTTTTCGAAAATCATTATCTACCACGAAGCAATTAGTAAGATTATCTGATATGCGGGTGCAGCCCTTCCTATCAGAGAAAATGTTCCCTTACTCATGCTGGATGTGGCGAAAGCCTTCGACGGCGTCTGGCATGAGGGTCTCATATATAAACTTATTCGCATGAACATTGGCAGAGAAACTATCATCCTACTAATGTCTTTTAGCCCCAGTGCCTGTTCGTCGTACGAAGATGGTAACAATCGAAAGGGCATCCACGAATTTTTGTATTCGGTAATAATGTGTTTAATGTTTCGCAGGGGTATTTTTATTTCATTATAAAACTTAGAATTTTAAAAAAAATCATCTCCCATTTTATCTATTTACCAGGACCCATAAAAGAATTTTTGAAAGTTTGATGACTATAGTAGTGACTGAGTTATTATCGAACAAACAAACGCACAGACTTTCTTCTTTTCTTTCTTTTTTATCATAAGCGCTTGTGATAACGTTTGGAGGTTAAAGGCTGTTCAAAAACTCCAGACATTCGGTGTTGGTGGTAAAATCTTCCTTTGGGTAAAACATTTCTTGACCCAACCTTTTTGTGCTGCTCGTTAGGGCACCAGCACTTTAAAATACGAGTATAAACAAGTTGAAATGGGTTTAACTCAGGGCACAGTTATTAGCCCTATTCTCTTTAACAATTTTATTATCGACCTACCAGACATCTTAGATTCAGATGGGATCGTTGCCCTTTTTGCCGATGATCGTGTCGTATGGACCAGAGCTAACAACAAAGATCAAGATGGTTTAAGCCGAATCATAAACTCTGCGCTCCAGAGACTTGAGAAGTGGTGTTCTGCTAATAACATTAGATTTAATCAGGCGAAGACTACTTGTCAGTTTTTATCTCTCAACAGAAAACACTTTACTCCTAGACTAACGTATGGGAAGTCGGTTTTGGCGCATTTGGACGGCGGAATATTTGGATGGTGCCACCTATCTTGGCTGTATTTTTGACAAGCGCTTAACCTGGAGAAAGCATGCAGAGCATGTAGTTGCTAAAGGCGGAACGTAGATTACCTATCCTTAAACGTTTAGCAGGTGTTGTGGTAGAGAGACTCTTAACTCGACGTATAAAATGCATATTCGGCCAATACTAAATTATTGTTGTAAGATATTGATCTCGGCTACGCGAGATGTGATACAACGTCTGAAGGTCTTCCAAAATCAGGTACTGCGCATTATAACCGGGGCTGTTAAAAACTACCCCCATTTTGGCAATGCAGTTGGTATCGCCAAACCAACCAATGGCAAACCTGATTCAGAAAAATGCTTTCATCCTTTTCCAGGGACTTATTCGTCTACCTAGTAACCCTCATTGAAGGAATTATGATTATAATAAACAACAAAATCTGAAGACACAAAATGGCTTTCTGCAGTGTGTCTCTCGCCTAGAACAATACAATCATTTAAGAATACTGAAACTGGAACTGCTGTTTTTGCTGAATCCGTTGGATTATGGCTTCTTTGATTTGCGGTTGGAACTGTAAATGAAAGAAGTTGATAAGAAGCAAATTAGTCCAGAGCAAATAAGAACTATAGCTTTGGAAACAATTGAGCAACGTTTTCCGGCTGAGGAATGGATACATGTATATACGGATGGGTCTTTGACCGATAGGATTCAGGGGCCTGAAGCTGGAGCTTTTAGCAAGCTTTTCAGTTTCTACATACCTGTGGGGGCTTACTCCACTCACTTTGATGGAGAACTGAAAGCCATTCATGTAGCTGCCCAACAATTATCATTGAGACAGAGCTCGTTCAGAAGGGCTGTTGTACTGTCTGATTCAACTTTAGCAATACAGGTCATCTCCTCTTACCAAGAGTGTAAGAACATATGCGTTAAACAGTGTCAGGAAGTCATAAAAGAAATTTCCTATAAGATATCTTTTCAATGGGTACCTTCACACTGCGGTATTAATGGTAATGAGATGGCTGATAAGCTTGCGAAAAAGGCGCTACGGTTTCCCAAAAGCCAAAAACGAGTACAAGCCTCCATTCTATTAAGCTTATGATATCGCTAACATATCAAAAGACTTTTAGAGATTTTGCCACATTGGCTTGTGAGGGCCTACCTTGGACTGTTCTCTCAACAAACACAGCTTTTGTTCCTGACCTGCGAACAGTTGCCGTTGCATCTTTTAGACTATTGACGGGACATGACTGTCTACAGAATCATTTATTTTCACATTGGACTAGCTGATTCGCCGTTGTGTGTTTTATGTAATAGTGGACGATCAATGACGGCGGAACATTTGGACGAGTGTGAAGCACTGACAAATTTTTCTGTTATATTCTAGCGCTATTAGCAAGCAAGGAATTTAATGGCCTAATGGCCAATGTAACTGGCATTTAACAAATAAAAAATAAATAAACTTTCTTCTATAAAAATTTCCAGAATAAGCAGTGCCATAAGCTTCTTGGCAGAGTTTCATGAGTTTTCTTATCATATTGGTTAGAAAACCTGAGCCTTAATATCTGATAATTACTTATATTTAGAGCGTAGATATACAAAGTATAATAAACGATCAACAATATTTTGTAATACTAGATAAAACAGCGAGATAAAATGTCACTAAAAAGAAATCGTTATTTGAAAAACCGGTACAATTTAAAAAATGTTTCATCTCTAATTAGAGAAAAATTGCTTTCAGTTCAGGAATACAAATCTAAAATTTAATAGGAAATATTTAGTGATACTCTTTTTATATTTTATAAGTTAAGTTATCTTTCATTTGCGATTTTCGACACAGGAATATCATTGCGTTTGTAGGCGAATAGCAACAAGACTGTTGTTAATTTTATTTTAGAATAAAAAAGATTTTTATACATTAAATTTAATTTACCCATAAGGAACTTAAGTAGTCACACAGAGTGAAGTAAATCTAAAGATGATTCTACATAAATTAAACAAATTTGATTTTATTCATGATGTTGTTTGTTTATCATCATTAATTCTTTATCATCATAACATTCATTAGACGTAACCTTTAGCATTCTAATTTTTTTTAGTAACTGTTAAGTAGTTATGGTTCCAATTATTTATCTTTATCTGAGAATTTACCTTATTCTATTTATTCCTTTGTAGAGTCCAGTGAATCAACTTATGTCTGAATCCTGGACTAGCAGAAAACTACACAAGAGAAGGGTTAAAGTACACTTTATTAAATCTTTGAAAAATTTACAATGAGTCAACTCGATGCTAACAAACTTCGCCTCTGCTTGGGCGGTAACTTAAAATCAGATAATTGAAACTAAAAGTTGAAATATAAACAAGTGATAAAACTAGTCTACACAGATCAGCGAGATCCCATAACTTATACCCCGTTTGAAGCTAGTGGCTACAGATAAATGCAATTAAGCAACTTGAACCAGCAATAAGTAAACGTATCTACGGCAGAGACGGCGGATAAAGCCCAACTCTTCCTTTCTCCTACCGAAACTCGGCTTTTAACTACTTCCTTCAAAGTAGAAAAATTTGCATTTGTTGACGCACGCTACAACATTTAACTATTCTGGCACTCACAATTAGCGAAATGAAGGCTTTCAGGAAAGGTCTAAACTCAAACTTTAAATTGTTAGCTAAAATAAATATAAATTCCTACACCTTGAACTGGAACCACTGGTTTGTAAGCAATCGTTCAAGATATACTCAATTGTGCCGCCCTTTTTGATAATCCTTGTGCAATATTTCACTATAGGTAATTCCTCATGGGAAATTTTGACAGAACTGCTAAGCGTAACTATGCAGATCTTTAATAAAATTTTATTTGCTACATACAGATTTGGGTAAGAAAAGTATTATTAATATTGCTTGAATAATTGGGTAAATTGAAATAATGCAAAGTATTATTATTATTTGAGAACAAAGCTAAATAAAGTGATGATATGGCATAAAAAAAGTAGAAAAGAATCATTAGTTAAATTATAGAAGTAAATAAAAATATAAAAAAATTAAAAATACCAATGAAAATAAAGTTTATTTATTATTTAGTATGTTTCTTTCTGTTTTGCAGGAAAGTTCATTATGTCAAGCAGTTGATGAGTAATAAAGAATGAACAAATTGTTTAACATAATGAATGTTTTGTTTCAATATTTTAGTGCTTAAAATGACTAAAGGATAGCTTTGTCTTCGTTTCATTTATCGTAATGCAGATCATGCACGGTACCCCATACCCAATGCATGAGACTTAATCTAATTCACGTCACGAAGTTTATAATAAAGCTTCACGTACACCCACTGTCCCAATTCACCTCACGCACATCAGAACATATTTTTTGTTTATTACCTTCAGAAAAAGCTACATGTAGTCAAAATATATTTACATAAAACTTTCTTCAGTTTATATTTTTCTAAATGAGAAACATTTGAAGGTTGACATATCAAACTGGTATTTGAAAATAATATTTACAATAATCATATTATTATGAAATAATCATATTATGCTAAAATAACCCTATTTCACAAAAAACCCGCAGTCTAATTTATTTTTTGATAAAATTACAGACTTAGACAATCCAGGCTTTATCCTCATTCTGAAATGCGAATAACGGCATGATAAGAGGCAACCGGTTTCCAAAATTATTTTTCCATATAGGATCGACATTTCAAGATTTGATTTTGGAGTTTAATACTAACTTTAAATCAATTATTGCAAGGCAACATTTCACTTCCAACAGCAAAATCCGTCTTCAGTGTTTTCAAGATTATATTAGTGGAGAAGTACAGTATACTTCGCTTAATATTATCACGTTTGTTTACGCTATTTTGGTAACATTAACTGAATGATAACATTCGAAGATGAGAAAATTGTGCTTCAAAATAGCAGTGGAATTTCTAATTTATTATAAATAAAACTAAAAAATATATAAATTGATACTTGCACACAATTTTAATTAGAAAGACACTTTTATTTGAGGGATAATTTACCCATAGTCTTAATATACAGAGAGAATTCCTACTTCAAAAATATTTCACTGCAACTTGACAATTTTAAGAATCTACTATTTTGACCTGTTTGGCGATTTTACTTCAGTTTAAAAAATTTCTTTTCCAGTACTTTGAACATATTAACCGGACTGTTGAGCGCAATAAGCTATACATTTTCCATGTTTCCGTATAAACGTATATACTTTGGCAATTCAATAACAATATTCGAATGATACCATTCACCGAGATGACAATAAGCAGCGTTTATTGTGCAACTTTTTTCCCATATTCCTTAAAAAACATACAACTACTTAGTGATATGTTTGTGACATTTATCACCCAGATATACATTTAAAAATCCCATTTCTTAGTGATATACACTGGTGTGCAAAAATTAAGGACGAAGTCGAAAAATTAGCATATCAGCTGAACGAAGAGGCAGAGCGGACAGAAAGACCAATCAGGAGATTAAGTAAGGTGATGTACGGTAGCACATGCGCAGATATGCAGGTAGACGTAATGGGGGAGTGTCTGAGTAGTATAAAGCATGTTGTCGGTGTAAGATCAGTATTTTTGGCAAAGAGATTGCACGCCGTATAGCAGTTAAAATCACACCGAGTTGCTGCCTCAGCGAGAAATGGCGAATAATCAATCTGTTAGACGACATCTGAATACTTTTACCCGAGGTCGAATCATTGGGAAGTTGGAGGAAGGCCGCAGTGTGACAAGTGTGGCTGCAGAGTTCGGAATTGCTCACAGCATCCTTTCACGACTTTGGAGACAATTTCAAACTACAGGAACAGCTATCCGGGGGTTTAGTAGTGGTCGTCCACGAGGAACCACACCCGCAGATGACCTGTATATTGCCTTACAGGCCAGAAGAAACAGGCGGCAGACAGCGGAGAAATCGCTAGAAACACGACACAGGCGACTGGACGACCGATATCGCGTTTTACGTAAACCGTGGCGAGAAGACTGCATGGTGGTGGTCTGTTTGCACGACGCCCTGTACGGTGTGTACCTCTAACGCCTGCCAATCGAAGAAGGCGTTCTCTGTGGTGCCGGGAACACCGGAATTGGAGAGACAATGAATGGGGACGAGTACTCTTTACAGATGAGAGCAGATTCAGTCTGAGTAGCGATTCTCATCGCATACTCATCTGGAAAGAGCGGGGAAGCCGCAATCATCCCTTGAACATCATTGAAAGGAACAGGTATGGAGGTGGTGTTCTCGTTTGGGGAGGCATCATGCTTGGTAGTCGTACAGACCTTCACATCTTCGACGCAGGTTCAGTCAACGGGACCCGTTATTGTAACGAGATTCTTCTTCCATATGTGAGTCTTTTTAGAGGCGCTATGTGTCCGCAGTTCCTTTTCATGGACGACAATGCACCATGTCATCGCACAGTAGCTGCCGAACAGCTCTTACAGAGTGAGGATATTGAACGTATAGATTGGCCGGCACGATCTCCGGATCTCAATCCCATCGAGCATGTATGGGATTTTCTAGGCAGACGCTTGGCAGTTGTTTCGTACCTTACCCTTACCACCACCAGTAACGATTCCGGAGCTTCGATTGGCGCTGCAAGACGAATGGGCAGCAATGCCTCAAGAACTCATTGACACCCTCATTCTCAGCATGGGCAGACGCTGTGAAACCTGCCTAGCAGTCAGGGGAGATCATATCCCCTATTAAAGACCGGATGTTTCTTGCTGGACACCCATCACAGGGATGTTTCGGCCTTCAGTCGCATATCGCTCCATGTTTTTCAATAAAGCTTCTTTTTATCCCTCTGATTTCTCTTTAATAAGTGTTGCTTACATTACTCATGTCCTTACGTATTGGGGATCTTACGGTATTAAATGTGTTGATTTGGAAAGCTTTTGTACAAAGTTATATTGAAAAAACCGTCTAGTCCTTAATTTTTGCACACCAGTGTAAAAGTTTGCATTTCTTTCAACAGTACTCAGTAATACTTAAAAAACATTTTATCACATAGTGTTATAATTTCACTTTTTTATCATTCGATTTTGTATTGTATGCACCCTTATTCGTTTTTTGAAGTTTGTGTTTATACGCACTG